TCATTCATTATCTTCCTCCCTTTTCCCAGTTAGGGGAGGTGTAAACATGAACAGAGTTGTGTTCAATAATCAGTTAACGTCAACAGAGGAAACTGGAACCTTAAAACAAAGTATTATTTTACATGAAAACTGAATCTACACAAAAGTAGTGGCAACAATGGAGCTTTCAAAAAGGTACTAAAGGTGAGCAGGTTCTGCATTCCCTGTCAGAAATCTCACCAAGTAAGCACCAATAAGAGTGTCTTATCATTTTAATATCTGAAGTACTGTGTCTTTCCTCTCCCAACAAAGACCCATTTAATGATTTTACTCCCAATTATTTTTTTAATAGCTGTGAAAACGCTAACAGGAAATCCAGAGCACTTAATGGCTGCATGACTCAAGCCTTTTTGCAGCTCACTTAAATGTAAAAGGCTATGCTGGTAACATGACAACTGTTTTGAGCTGCAGGACATGTCAGGGTCAATACACTTAAGTGAAACAGAGCTGGAGGAAACACGAGGGAGCTGAGAGGAGTTCACAAACAGAGCCACACCTGAACAGAGACATTTGGAAGATGGCTGGAATAATTGGGTTTTTACATCTACATTTCAACGTCAATCCCACTGTCATTTCACACAAAGCTGTTTTTCAGTCTATATGGTGGAGGCAAAGCAGCCTTAATATAGAGAACACTATCATATCGTGGAAGCAAAGCAGCCTTAATATGGAGATCACAATCCACCCATCTGGTGGCCTGTCACTTCCCTGCTCCCCTCTTGCATAACACAGCATCATTAAACATGCTCGACGTGTAAAGCAGATATCACACAGCAAAGGCTCCACACATAAAAACATTCAGCCTGTGAGCCAAGACGTCTGTTTTAAAATGGACCCCGGAACCTCACTGTCTCTGAGCCTTCAGCTGCTCTGTTGGCGCTGTCCGCTTCAGCACCACACGGGTGCGCGCAAACACACATGCACGAATGCATACATGCAGGGTTGATAGAGAGAGCAAAATCATAGCCGATCTGACAGGGAAAACCCGTTTTTCTGTTTTCTAGCTGTGGTATCCCCTCGACGCTTGTAAAAGGCCTGCAGATGATCCTTCAATTCTCTCCAATGTTAGTAGGCTAAGTCATGTTGACAACACTCGTCTTGTGTCTCAGTTTCGAGAGTTGCACATTGCTTACATCCAGGTTTTTAATTTCCACAGAAAAAACCGACACATTTTGGTATCGTCTCAGTTCCTAATTTTAGAGACCAAATGAACACTTTTTCCCTAAAACTGTTAAATAAGAAGAAGGGCTCTGGACGCCATTGTGTGCATTCAAATGTATTGCATTGCATAGTAAAGTGAGAAGCATTAAGGTACACGGTGCTCTCAAACAAATTAACCAAAGCAATATTGCTGCAGTGGGAGGTTTGTATGTTTGAAATGTCCCGCAAACGTGGATGTGTCAAAGGAACAGGGGTTATGTCGATGTATCACAATAAATCACAGCAATATGTCCCTGATGTCAATGAACCACACCAAGCAAATCACGATTCATTTTTTCCTTTTCGGGGATATGGTGGGGTTTTTTGCGCGTTGCCTTGCATGATCTGCACCACACCCGTGAAGCCATGTCGAGTGCCAAATCAATAAGGGCTCTATCTGTGCACAAGATAGCCCAGTGCATGAAGCTAAACAGCAGCTTGACACTCACACTTACAGTCTGGAATATTGCGTTAAACATAACAAATAAAACGATTAGAGAACAGAGGAGGCTGCCACACCAAAATCACCTGGAGGAATGTAAATGTGTTGGGTATTTCTGGTAAAACGATCAGGCTACTCACATAGCATCGAAGCCGTATGGTGATTCATGAGCCCCATCCTGTAGTCCGGAGGGTATAAAAGGGCAAAAATAGGGAGCACAATTTGAAATACATCTCCTTTTTCGTTTTTTGGGGGGCTGGATCAGTCAGACGGCGCCCTACCTGATGCCTAACCTGCGGGACATTTTCTCTCACAAAGGTTTAATGAACGCCTCGGATGCTCGATGAAATAAACAATCCGATTAATTCCTTGCGAAAGACATAAACTGATTGACACATTTCGTTTTAAGTGCCCTGGTCCAGCCAATAGATGCTCACCAAGCTCAGACACCCTCTCCCAGCTCCAAAAAAAGATGCGGGGCAGTGTGCAGCTCTGCGACATTTACGCAAGGATACCGACAGCGAGAAAACCTCCCCTCACCAAAAAGCATATGCACCCTCCTCTCAAACGGTTAGAAATTAAGGATACTCACTTTGTAAGCGTTACAATGAATCCGGGAAGCCGTGGCAGGAGTGCAGATGTGGAAAAGATTGGGGAGAAACTGCGGTTGTCGCCATATTGTTGCCGCTATCTTCCCCCCTCAGCGCGAGCAGTCCATAATTGATGACTCTCAGCTGAATGTAAGGGAGTGTCTGCAAGTGCGTTTGGTGAAATCCTAAAGGTCATTTAGGTCTGCAGCCTCTAAACATCACTCTGTGGTTCACCAGAAACAGCTCACCGGGCTCGGAGATGAGCCTGTGTGAGATTTTGGAAAGAAAATGCGCACAAGGTTTTTCTGACAAAACAGATCGGCTCACTTTGTGTGCAGTTTGTAGTGCAGGAATGTAATTTGCTGGCAGGCATTGGGCACAGAAACTGCTTCCACAAGACACTGAGATAAATCTGTGATACACATGTTTAAATTCATGTGAAAATACCAAAATCATGCAACGTTTACCTCACATAAAATGACCATTTGCTTTGGGAAATACATTAATTAAGACACTTAGTTACCTAAAAGTGATCCGGTTTATCCTCACATGCACATATTTTTAAAACTATCTTTATTAATAACCTCTGCCTCAGACTGCTGCCTCCCCCTGCACTCTGCTGTTAAATAAAACAAATTAATATGCAAATTGCCAGCTCCCCATCTGGAAAACTGCCCCCTATGTGTGTGTGTGTGTGTGTGTGTGTGTGTGTGTGTGTGTGTGTGTGTGTGTGTGTCTGTGTTTGCGCGTGTGTGTGTGTGTGTGTGTGTGTGTGTGTGTGTGTGTGTGTGTGTGTGTGTGTGTGTGTGTGTGTGTGTGTGTCTTTTTTTGTGTGTGTGTGTGTGTGTGTGTGTGTGTGTGTGTGTGTGTCAGGAACTGGGACTTTATTGCATTTCAGAATAATCAAACTCTTTTGATACTCATGTACTTTATTGATTTACTGAAACTGACTGAGAACATTTGTCAAATTGAACTTTGCCTGGTGATAAAGGCATTATGTAACGCCGTGATGACTATCAGGCGTTTGTCCTTGTGACCGTCTGAAAGCCTTAATAAACATATTTTATAAAAGGCCAAATGACATAACTATAAAAGTGTTTTTTTGACAGTGTAAGAGCTTTGTTAAGCAGTAAAAGCTTTTATATTTTAATTAGATATGCCCAGTGAAAACCTGCTGCTTTTGGGTTATCAAAATCTGTTGTCCATAGTTTACTGATCAGGGCGTCTCCATTTGATGAACCAGGGAGACATTAATGGCCACATTGGGACAAACAAAAGGGATTAAAGAAAACACAAAGAGGCTAAATATCTAGAGTTTCAAAGATAAAAACTCCAAATAGCCAAAAAGAGACATAACATGTGTACAAAGTTTCCCAAAATGAATACAAAGTGACAGAAATTGACAACAGAAATGCCTTTAGAGCTGGATTGTGTTGCCTGCTCCATGACTTCATGTTGACTTGAAGCTGTAGGTAATAGGTTTCATACACAATCACACCAGAGAGCTGTTTGGTGCACACTTCATTAGTTTCTCAGTGGAATGCTGTGCAACCATACTTTCAGCTACAGCAACCATTCAGATATCACAAGATTCAGCTTTTTCAGCACATGATGGGAAACTTTCAACTTTTTCAAAATATGTTGTACTTTTTAAAATATTCAGCTTTTTAAACTGTTTTTTTAAACATTTAACTCAATGGGAGGAACCTTCAAATCCTCTTTTAGCTACACCTTGTGCCAAATGCTTCTCCTTCCACATACTTTCAGCTAGAGACTTCATTCCAACTTTAAGATGATCACAATACATTCTGCTATAAAACATGTTTACAGACTTTTGATATTTGTTACACTTTTTAAGATATTTAACTTAGTTTGGAGCTTGGTAAAGAGGCCTTCTATACATTGACAGTGGAGGAAACAAGTATTTAACCCCCTTCAGATTTTGTAAGTTTACCCACTTATTTTACAACTAAAAGCTCTTTTCAAATAAAGAGCAGTTTGTAACCGAGGCTCTGGGTGTTTCTCAATCGCGAGTACGCTTGCTTGGTAGCACATGTCTTCCGAGTCACTTCCTTCAGAAGCTAGACAAGAATCCTTCTTGGCATTCGTAAAACGAAGAGTGGAACAGGCTAGCAAGTGTGCAGGTGTGCATCATATGAGAGGCTCCGCCTTTCATTTTCCGCCACAGATTTGGGGAAATTGGTCCGTGCGCAAAGCATTGTGGGGATTTTAAGGACGCGAAGTCTACCCATGTGCAGCCTCGAAATTTCCCCCAAACCAAGGACGCGGCCTCGGTGGAATTCCAAGTATGCTGGACATTGGAACGGTCCTGCTGCGCCACTTGATGACGTAGCATCCTTGAAATATTGGCTTGGAAGCCAATATCCTCGAGTTTGATAAGCCCTCCCTCTTCTTCCTGCTCTCAGACACAGCCATCTCCAATCTGTATTTCCTGGTTCCTCCCCTTCAGATCCACACTGAGGAGGATGGGTGTAACCAAAATGTGGGGAAAGTGCAAGAGCTGATAGGCCACATTCACTGCACACACACATGCTGTTCAGATCACTTTCCCCACATTTTGGTTACACCCATCCTCCTCAGTGTGGATCTGAAGNGCTTCTTGGAGGGCTCCACCAGCTTGTGTTTTTTTAATTGAGCTGTGTCATAATGAGGCTGGAGGTGTTTATCACAATAAGAGGCCAGACAAGCGAGGCAGGCCTTACAGGCTCTCAGTTTCCTAACATCACAGGCCACATCTTCAGCTCCTGATCAGCAGGAGCAGGTGGGGGTCCAGTCTTCTTCAGCTCCTGATCAGCAGGAGCAGGTGGGGGTCCAGTCTTCTTCAGCTCCTCCACTAAAGCTGCTAACATGGTGTTTTTCAGCAGGACAAGCCTCAGTGTGAAGCTCTGCCTGCACTGAGGGCAGCTGTGGATCTTCTTCTCATCCT